TGCCAGAGTGGCCGTAGTATACCTAGATCTAGCGGCTTTGATACCTCCCAAAGCCTTTCGTGTCGATTCTCGCAGGTCGCTGACGAGATCCCGGAATTCACCATTCACCACTCCCAGCTGGCGTTCCAGATTCGATGCCAACTCCTCCTTATGAACTTTGTCTGACTCTAATGCCTTGATCCGCCGCACAAGTCGGGTGATCTTTTCCTCTGTCTTGGCAAGCTGGCTTCTTCTGATGCCCACCTCCTCGATGGCCGTATCTCGTCGTCTCCGGTAATTCGCGACAGACTCAAACAGAGCATCAACCTTCTGTTGGAAGATTTTGCAGTTTTTGCCTGCATCTCGAAGCTTCGCCTGAAACCGATACCATCACAGCCTCAATTAATGCATCATTTCATGATTATACACTCTCAACCCGCAACCCACGCGACACACAAGGCTCATTATTCCCCCGAATCTCAGCCTCGTCCCGGTTAATATTGTGCTCGTCACGAACTCATCGTGATCCCACAAGGCTTGTGATCGTCACAGATTCCTTTTCCCAAGGGGTAGTACAATGGGCTATTCCTATTACCTGGAGCTCTGCAGCCTCCTCAACCGTCAATGGCGCTTCCTTCGCTATTGAGGCGGCTGACATTACCACTATTCAGTCAACAACCAATTCTTTTCTTCCCCCACTATGATGAACTCAACCACAGCTCCCTTTTCCGAAGCGATTAACCGTAGATATAACAGCAGCAAGCAATAGGACACTACTCATAATAGAGTCACTGATCTTCACTAAGAGCAATCGTTCAAAGGCCTCATAGAGGCTCTGACGTTAACCACGACTAGCGACCCAAACTTGCGCCTCTCCTGTGCTGCCATCATTACCCAAGACCAGCAGATCTTCATCTCTATATGCACAGTCCTTCACATCCAGATTGTCACTAGATATCGGTCCAGTAAAATTGGATGCTCCGGACCACATACCTCGGCTCGTCCATGTAAGGAGCTCTCCCTTGTCCGTTACCACGGCTGCTGCCCCATTAGAGGCCCCACAAGCTCCCACTGCTCTCCCGGATACTAGACCATAGGGGACGTGCAACTCGGACATCCTCACGCCGTTAACACTACGATACACCTTGCCGCTGTTCACTGAGTACTTCACGTTTTGAACAGCAGCACTTGTAGGCTCCTCATGCATTCGACCACCAATAGCAGGGAATGACCATCTGTTATTGAACTCATCACCCAGTACCAAGCTCGAGTCCACCACATCCACTGTAGTAGGGTAGAAGAACGGGCCAGGCTCCAAAAGGTTAAGTCGGCTACTCTGGAAAGTCGTACAGGACTCCTCCAACAACCTCCGGTGCTCTTCCCCACCTTCCTCAACGAGGCCGGCCTTATTGTTCCAACCCCACTCTGTAGCACCAGCGGCTACAGCACAAGTATACCCCACTCCAAAGAGCCAAAGGGCGGCAACAACCGCACCACCTGCCTTATATATCCTCCAGGGTAGTATCTTCGCCTTGGCAGAGTTCTCACGAAAGGTCTTCGTCAGACTGGGCTTCTCCTCAGCTTGCAATGCCCGACCCATAGCCAAGGTATCAGCTTGCATGGTGATACCGCGGCCAATACGATGGGGCCCTTCAGAGCCGCCGCTGTTACTCCCACCGTTGGGCGCTGCAGTAGAGGATGTTGACGAGGCTTGGGAGCCCTCTGGGATAGAACTGAGTGACTGCCCAAGTTCCCTCGTCTTCTGCTTGCGAATCATCTCAGCTACTTTAACCGAGCCAGTCTGATCATACAGAGATTCAACATGACACCGTGCGTGTAGCATACCCGTGGAATGAGCTTGGACACCGGAACTTCTTCCTTATTCACGGTGTTTCTGTGCCTCGTGTTTCGCTGCCTCTGCTCCTCATCAAGGCCCAGGACGTCAATCGACATGATCATTGAGAATTTCGTGGGGAGATCTCCGTCCGGCTCGAGACCTGAACCAAGATGGACATTACACTCCAGCCGAGCATTGCACAGGTTTGCGCCGCCCATAAAACTCCGAGGGATACCAAAGAGCTCACCCAAGCTTATGAAGTATCCAATGAAGAGGAAATGGAGGAAGTAAATAATAGGAGTAAGGATGTCAACAGTCTCTAGCCATCCATCATGATCTCCAGGGACACCCCTCTCCATCCTAATGCGATACGTGATGTCAAACGTCGCGGCGAAGCCAGCTAGAATAGGACCTGTTATGGCGTCGTTTACGTTACTATAGCGACCAACAACTCCGATCACCCTACCTGCGACTTGCAAGAAGGTAAGGGTCCAATGCTCCGGAGGCGACAACAAAAGATTCATCCTCTCGTGAATGAGGTTGAATGTTAACATGAGAAGGATGAAGATCCACGGACCCCAGAAGTTGTAGGCGATGAAGTAGAACATGAGACCCATGTAACTGAGGCAAGGACGATAGCAAAGGAGTAGGAGGAGCCGCGACCGAATCCTGCACTACTCACCAGAGCACGTTGACGAGCTGGTTAGTGCCGAGGACCATGAACACTCTCGCATAGGCATCGAAGCCTTGCCAATGTTCCTTCAATCGGTTGAATAAATAGAAGTGCTCCACGAATATGTTATAGTCCGTAGCGAGGTCTCTGAAGTGTGTACAGCAATAACCACTCAGAAGCTGAACCCCCAACGGTACTCAGTAGCCGTATTGCTTCCCAGAATCCTCGGAGCTGCTTCTCTCAGCTCATTATCTTCCTTCGCCCGAGCTCCCTTCACAGGGACGTAACTGATGGAAAGAACAAGTCCTCTCCCCATTGCGTTGAAACAAATGACGCTACTTAGACATAACCGGTATTCTGAACATAGTGTCGAGCCCCTTGCGTTCGTAGTTCCTCAGATCAGCACAGGCCGAGTTAATCTGCTCCTGGCCAGGAACTGGCAAACGCATCCACTGCGTTAACAGACGAACGGCGAAGGTCTACAGGAGGAAAACGTACCAACTCTCCTAGTATTTGGAAAGGCGACCTCACCTGTGCTGTAATGGAAGCGTGAATAGAGAACCAGATGGACATGACCAGGAAGAAGACAGCACTAGCCAGGTTGAGGGCCCATAGGAAGATGAGCCATGACGGTGATCCTTCCTCCGGACTGAGATAGTGTTATATCAAGACACACTAATCAGTCGACCCGACTCACGTTTTGGCTTCGTAGTAGAATCCCATGACGAATCCAAGAGTGAGGGTATTGATAACGAGGTAGTTATCCATCTTACCAATCGTCAGTTCGAATAGATCTCTGAGATCCTCTCGATACAGTTGGACCTGTCAGAAGCATTCAATCTACGACTTGCAGCAGCAACCGTTCTATGGACTCACCTGGTTAACCCTCAATTTCTGCAACTGGAAGATACGCTCCTGATTGAGCTCTCTGTTGTACTGATAGGTCTCCCTATTGTACATAAACAGCTCGCCGAGACCTCCCAGTACGGCAGCTACTTCTACGAACACCATATCGAAATTCTCACTAGCAAAGGGAAAAGGTAAAGGCCGTACGCAAAAGCACCTGGAGTGATGATATCCATGACCAAGACCATCCCAGAAGAACGAAACATTCAGTACTGAATCAGTAGTGTAGGAAAGGCCCACCGATACAAGTGAACCCGCGAGGGTCACACCAGCCGAGAGCTACTGCATCTAATGCAAGGTGAGCGTAGATGAACATCGTTATGGAGTCGTGAAGGAAGAAATGTACTCTAGTAGTCATACAACAATAGCTGGTTACAATGGAACAGTTAGCAAAGTGGGAAAGGGTCGAATTACCCACTTCGTCATCATTGAGCTTCATTACTCATCTAAATGCCACCATCCTTTTCATTCGCTCTCTACAGTTACCTTCTGAATAAGCTGTGGATCTATCGAGAAGTCCCGGGCAACCACCGCTTCGCTAGTGTGCTTGTCATAACCCAACAGGGAACCATCACAGGCCGACACCCACTCTATGTCAGCGCCCTCCGTACCAGGGATCTCAGCTCGGCCTACTAGCCTTCCAAAAATCATAGACCATGCATCTACCTCAGAGTTCGGGAGGAGTACGTAAGCATTATCCCCCGCCGTATGAACAGACAACGCATCAGCGTACTTCGATACGCCAGGATACCACTGAGAGGTCCTACCATTGTTGAAGTAGATCTGGCCATCCTCACGAGCTATGGCAACCCAGGCCCCTGTCGCGGACTGCGCTATAAGTCTAGGCTGGGGTGCGGACTCACCCAATGCTACTACCTCCTCCCCAGTAGCACACTGTATGACCTTCCCACTCGACAAAGCACCGAGTTCGCCATTCTCCAGGATGAATATATCATCAATGATGGAGTTAGCGAGACCACACTTACGAGTGACTGCAGAGCTTAGGAGTCTCGAGCCCAACAAATCAGCTGTGTAGATCTCACTACCAGGACGACAAGCAATAGACGTGGGGGAGTAGAAGGTAGCACTATCAAGCAGAGCTGGAGTGCCGTAGGACACCGGTGAGGCCACCAAATGACGGTTAATGCCCTCTCTCACAGCAGCGTTACGATCACCAGTGGTATCTATCTTCGCCACTTCCAGAGCTGTGTCCACTATCGCTCCACACCAGCAGAAGAGAGAAACCAGACTGCCAAAGTTGGTCATCTGACAGGAAAGCAGCAACATTGTACACAATGCCCTCAACGACTAGCCCTACCCTCAAGGGCATCCTAGACCGTGCCTCATTGAAGCGGTTATCCTCGAGTAAGTGGAAGCCCTTAGTTTTCTGGACCTCCTTATAGGCCTTCACCTTCTGCTCATACGTATCGAGCTCCTCCGGAATCAAGGAGAGGCCGCGAGCTCGACTCTGATGATACCAACAATACCACCAAAACGCCCCATTCTACTAC